GCAGTTATTGCTATTATTTCTCCATAGTTTTTAAATCCGGAGTTTTTTTATACGATAGTATTTATCACAACAACCAAATTTAAAAAAGAGACGTGCATTTGAGGCATCCGATTAGCTTGATTTTGTCGGCGATCTCTTTTTCGTCAATTACTACTATGCTCGGATTTCATGATTTTTAATTATTTTTTTACTGTGGTGATTGTTTACAAAATAAAAAGAAGGAAATAATTTGCTGCCTCCCCCAGACAAAATGCGAAAAATATCTCGCAGAAAGACATTAGTAATAGAGTTTTTTTGCAGATAGTACGAAAAAATTTGGCCACTGGGAATGTCATATATTAATATCATATCAATTTGAGTTTCACGGATTTAAGTTCCTGGTTTAATTAGTCTAAAATTCAATTGCTAGATTTTTCCCACCGAAGGGATTGATAGGGCAAAGAGATCGTTTGTCATAATGCTTTATGATTTTGTACTTTTTTATGTTAGATAGATAAATGCTAAAAGCGTTTTTTCTATATTTGATTGAGTAAATAACATAAATCTTATAGGTTCAATCTTCGTCAGTCATTTAAGTTGACGATCTCATGCATTCAACTTACGTCGGTAACATCATGATCTGCAGGGATCAGCTAGTTTCTTTTTATTTGCTGTTGGTTGTTCTCGTATTGATCATGACGTCATCTGTCTTAAAGAGTATTTAAGCTTCTGTTGAAGCAGTTTATTTTGTATTCATTCTTTCTTTTCGTTACTCGTTTGTCACTCAGTTTGTGAGAGTATGTCTACCAGCATAATATGTTTTTAAAATAAATTATTGCTCTATAAACTTTTTTTTTCCAATTTATTTTGTTGACAAACAAATACAATGATATTCTGGGACAATCTCGGTTGTCATTTTAATTCTACATGCAGACTTCCGCAAAAGTTATGAATTCAACTAATAAGTGTAAAACATCTGTTAAATTTGGATACAGATTTAAAGATTAACTCAATAAGTAAAGTTGATGGATAAATATTTCAAGTAAAAACCTTCAAATTTTTTGTCAAGCTCAAAGCTTTTTTCTTTCTTAAAATGTGATTTACAGCTCTCATAGACTGTTACATTAAATTAGGAATAAATCATCTATCTAATCTAAAGAAATCTTTAATTTCATTTGAAGAACTGCCACGCCTTGTCATTTCTCTGTTCAATGTATATGCATCAACCAGAAATTTTCATGTATTTAAATATATTATCAGAAACTGTTTAAACAAATATTGTTTAAATTTAAATTGAAATCTTAATATTTTTAATGATTGAAAAGATTAGCAGATTTGCTTTATATTTTACTCAATTTTATTAATTGCTTTCAATATCTGGCAGCCAATTGTTTTATTTTTTTCAATTATTTATAATTTTAATTATCTCCAAACTTTAACGTGTTTCCAGAAGAATTTAATGGTTTTCAGATTTGAAAAATGTTTAAATAATGGTCTATTCAATGAATAGTATTCCTCTTTAACTCTGATCATTCAAAATTTAATTTTTTTCGCTTAAGTTATAAAAGGGTAACTCTGTGCAAGTTGGATATTTCAGCTTTTCCAATAGAAATATGAATAAGTTACTAGCTCAGTCAGCGTCTTTATAACTTTTTCTCATAAGTTTGAAGTACTATTTCAAGTAGTTTTTATTAATTTTTTAACCTATGAAATCCCATTCCCTCACTCGCAACCACCTACATATAAGACCGAAATATCTATACTTTTTCTGCAAATTTTATCGTTTAAAATTAACACTTACTGTGTTTTAATGTATACATTTTTTTGGGTCTTTGAATGTGTCTTTTATTTAACAAAAAAAAAATAATAAGTTTGAAATTCATAATTGATATTATTCTCTCTCTCATAGCAATTCAAATCATTGGCATTATTATTTGTATAGAAACAGTGCACATGTTTTGAAAAAACTGCAAAACAAATTTCATTGAATTGAGAGAAGCTCTTCAATTTGCAAAAAGAAACTGAATAAGCAAACTGGATGAATGTTAAGAAAATGTTATCATTCCCATTTTATGAAGCTAATATATTTTCTAAATGTATTAATAAGTTTTTTAATTTTTTCTAATTGGATAGTTAAGGAATTATTTATTTTATTCATTAATTTTAGGTATAAAAGTAGATTATGGTAAAATTAAGGTATCAAAAGCAAATATTGCTTATTTTCTCACTCCATTTATATCATTCCCTCACTGTGAAAAAAAATTACTCTTTTGTGATCAATTGATTTAAATGTTTTTAAAGACAAGTTTAAAAAAGATATTTCTGTTTCTCTTTGCTATTTTTTAAATCAGTTAAGGACTAACGTGTATTTTAATTTATTATTAAAATTATAATTTTAAATATGTTTGTAACTAAAATTATTATTTCTTCACCCTGTTGTCGTTCCTTTGCTTTAATAATAATTTTAATGCGTGTGACTAAATTCATATATCTTATGTGCAAAAACACTTTTTAAATAATTTAAAAAATACTTGAAATTTTAGCACCAAAAAAAAGTGCCATTAGAAAGCACTTATCCAAAAAAGTGCTATCAAGGTTTTTATAAAAATGTAAGTGTGAGGTTTCATTTATTTAAAATTGTGTAAATATGAATTTAATTTTAAGTTGTGTATGATGAAGTTGTATGTATTTAATGAAGTTGTGTAAATTCGATATTTAATTTTTAAAATCTTATAAATACGAATCTCAATGTTTGGTTTTTAAATCGTGTTAATACAAATCTTAATGTTTGATTTTGAAATCGCTTAAAACGTTAGTGAATAGGAAACTTTAAATTTGATATAAAATCGTAAAATACTAGTACACGATGCGCAATCTGAAATCGCATTAATTCTTTCTTTTCTTTTTACTTCTCAGGAATTTGAGAGAGACTAACTTCTTTGGAAAGGGGGATTTTTTTATTTACTTATTTTTATTAAAATTGGTAAGATCAGAAAAAATTCTCACCCCCAATGCTTGCTTGAAAGTCAAATGCAATGATGTAAACAGAGGGAAAATGCAGCCGTGCAAAGTTGTTAAAAAATAAAATAAATTTATTAATTAATAAAAAAAAGATTGACAATCAATCTCTGCCAGACTGACCTGCCTGTTAGAATAAGGAAAATTTAACCTTTTTTTTCCTAGTAATATTTAAAAAAAAAAAAACTTCCTCAGTGGGGAAGCAAAATAGCACAAATAAAGGTGCGTACATGGACACTGTACGTTTATTTTGGTTCCATAAACAAGAAGTTGCTCAGTCTCAGAATAACTGAAGAAAAGGAGTAAACACATTGCAATAAGAAAAAAAAGTGGTAGGGGAAAAGAAACAAGTAAGAAAGAAGAGGGAGTTTTAGTGGGAACCCCAGGGTGAAAAAATAGAATTTCCAACCATTGGAAAAGGACAGGATGATTAAAAAGATCTAGCTAAATCATACGAATTTCTGTAATATGGAATGATTTTAAAAGAACTCAAACCTATCCTTAGAATTCTAACTATGAGGCAATAAAAGGTCATTCAATCTACCATTATCAGGGGTCTGTCTAGGTTTTTATGAGAGGTACCCATTTTGTAAAAATTTAGACGTAATTTATGAAAATTAAAAATCATATTAAATAGTATTCACAACAAAAATATGGTAAAGTAAGAAATTTTCAAAAATTGTCACTACAAATAAAAATCATTTATGACTGGTAAATTTTTATATATTTTCCCCCATATATTCAAAAATAATTTTGCTATTGTAAAATTTCGGGCTTAAAATTGTATCAAATTTAAAAATCCATAAAACTCATTGGCCATTGTTGAACTTCAACTTCAATTTTTTTTTTTAAATGCATTTAACAGTACTTGCACTAAAAGTTATTTTCATTGTGATAACATTTCCTACTGGGTCATATAGAAAAAAGTTTCAATGAGAAAAAAATGGTTCATAAAAAAAATAAAGGTATGTTAGAATAAATTTAGAACAAGTTGAATGTTCAGAATAATGTTCAAATTTCCAGTAAAGTTTACAGAGGGAGCGCCTTGTTGTTAATTTTTTTTTCTAAAAAAAAAGAAGAAAAAACTGCAAAAAAAACTTGCTATAATATGACGTAAGCCATACAGCACTATCTGACCAAGCACATGCTACCTATTTGTGTACGCAGAATTAATTGGGATTTATTGTTTCTCACTATGATACAAAAACAAAAATTTAATAGGGCGGAAGAGAATCTTTCTTTTACAAGAATTTTGTGAAACTACCGTTTTTCTTTAATTTGAATCTGTGAAGGTGCTGCCAAACGGTAGTAAATTTGCCTTGGACAGATCCCTGGTTATTGAAACATTTTAATGTTATTGATGTACTACGATCTCTGGATAAAATTCACTGACAAAATGTGTGCTTTGAATTTTATAATAAGGATTTTTAAGAGGAAATGTTGCAAGTTTTGCACACATCTCAGGTTCCAAAAGGAAAAGTTATTTTTTTATTAGATGTCATGATTGTGATCCTACTATTTTTAACTGGGGGGATTTTTATGTATGACTTAAGGGCATAATTATGGGAAAAGGTTCTGCTCAAAATTTAAGAAAGAGAAATTATTATAAAAATACATATTAGAGGTTTTTTATTTTGAACTATTGGGAAATTATTGGTAACTCACTTATATAACCTATCTGCTTGAAATCATTTAAGCTGGCAAAATCTGACCCATTTTTGGTGATTCTTTCATATGAATGGAGTAATCACAATATTGAAATCCAGCTTCTTTAGCTGGATTTGTTGTACTTCTTACCTGACACTAAATGCTTAGAAAGCCTGCTAATTGGTCAATCATTTTTTTGTAGTCTGGTTAGGTTTATGAAAACAATTTATACAGGACTGTGCTTTATTTGTTATTCTGCTCTTCTTTTTATGTTTAATGTCATTTAAAAGTATTGTATCTACATGAACACAAAAATGTTAAAAGTAGATATATGTGGCCATTCAATTTCTCTTTAGATAACTTTAATTATGAGGTGAACTTGGCTCCAAGTAATCCCATCATTTTTTCTCAAGCCAAAATTGAATCTTTTGACTATGGACATGGTTCATGCCCTACTGCACCTTCTATCCCTGGAAAAGACACTGTTCCTGTCAAAGGTTAGGGTTCCCTTTTTTTTAAATTTCATTCTCTCATGTGTCTGTTATATTGAAGCCTATTTCTAATCTTTTGTTAGCAATATAATCAAAAATATACGATAACTTTATTGGTTAAGTTCAGAGGTTATAAAGAGTGACAATTCTTACACCAGTATGGTCTCATTCTTTATTTTTTATTCATTCTTTGTTTCAACAAGATGTCTTTCTCTTGAGTGAACGTGCCTATCTTGACAAGCATTTTTGAGTTGAATTATTTGGTTTATTCAGTTGAATGTTTATGCTTTTTAATTGTTTTATTATTTGTTTACTATTCCTCGCCTGTTATCTTTACCACTTTGTATCAAAATGTGTTCATTAGTTCAGAACTAGGCATTTATTTTTCTATCTTATATTGTTGAAGTAGTAAAGTACTATATTTGAAATTATTTATTTATGTAATAAATATATGTATCTTTAATAACTTGATGAATTAGTTCATGTAATTAAAACATCATTATGAGAACTATTTCTTTTTTTTTTTTTTCTTTTTTTTAAGTCTGTCTCATCTTTAACATTGCACATCTGAGTAAAATAAATACGAAAGTTTCCTTTTTATGTACATCTTTCTCAGTGAGTAACTTTAAAGGAACATTAGGGTTTTGTCTGTAATGCTTTCCTCTCCATGCAATCACTCTCAAAGTCCAGACACAACATTTAAAACACATATATAATGTGCAGTTGACCTTTAATTTTGCAATAGAGTTACTTTTATTTTTATGTGTATGTTTCTGAAGCAATAAAACTGTGCAATTTTCACAAAAATTTTTTTTTTTTTTTAGTAATATTCCTACAACCAGAAAACTTATTTATTTGGTGAGAAAGTCTTAATAATTTTTAAAATTGTTCTAGATATCTTCTCGTAAGTTTAATGCAATAAAATTATGATTGGTAATATTTTTGGGAGTGTAATTTAATGCTGTAGATTAAATGGCTGGAAAGAAAGACTTACAGACTAGGAAATTTATCTAGTTTCCACTAGATTTTAATTTACTGCTGGGTACTTGTTTCTTTCCACTGTACACTTTTTGTATTAAAGTACCTTAATAACTTTGTGTCTCAATTGTTGTAAAGAAATATTTATTTTTCTTTAGTTAAAAATAACTATAAATGCATGATATTAATTCATTTTCAAAAGAAATTTTTTTGTTTTGACTTTTTAAAATTGTTTTATTCATTTTAATATCTCTAATGCACTATTATAAAAATACAATTCCACAAAAATCATTCAACAAATGTTGCCATATTTGATATCAGTACTTATTTATTAGAAGTTAAGACATTTCAAGTTCTATATAAATTTTAGAACAAAATATGTATAGAATAATGGCAAGAAGAAAATTGAACAATAGTAATTTTTTTAGCTGTTTTGTGGTGCTCTCTGATCTTGTTAAATTTGAAGGATGCTGATAAATTTGATTGACGTAGTTCTCTCAAAAACAAAGATATTTTTAAAAATCTGAAAGCAGACAACTATAAAATACTAGAACTACATTTTTTAAAAGTGTTTTTCTCAGATTTGTTTCCGTATGATCTCGTGTGAAATGATTAGTAGATTTTTATTGAAGGACAATCTTGTATTTTATGTTTCAAAACATATTGCATAGTTGAGTAAATGACAAACATTAGTTTATTGATGACAATTGAATGAAGATATTTAAAGATATTAAAGATATTTACTTTCCCCTTCCATTTACACCCCTTTGATGATTTAAAATGAAGGAGATTCTATTTTTATTGTGTCAATCAATTCCAAAAAATAAAATATAATTATTCATAAAATTTTAGTTTTCGCGGGTTCGAATGATAACTCACCCGAATACTTAGTAATTAAAATTTCGAAATCTTAATTTCGGATTTTTCTAACTTACCAATTTACGTTGGAAGAAATCATTTCCAGACTGAAAGTCCATTAAGTCTAAGTTATATTTTAAAATAAGATTAAACTGAATGCATTAAGCTAATTTTAACTTCCCCGGGATCAAAAATTGTATTCTTTATTAGTTTTTATTATTAGCACACAGTATCAGTTTTGGGATATATTTAATTTTGTTTCAATTTAATATCTGAATATATGTAGACGGGGCACCTGCTAAGCATTCATCAAATACGATAAAATTATATATTCGGAAAAACATTGTGTTTTGGTCGCTGATTTTTTTTTCTACCGAGAAGATAAATATATATTTCCCTCTGTCTTGATATTATATTAGTATAAATTTTAATTAGAATTATATTAATTCCAGATAATGTAAGCAACAAGAGTAATAAAAATTTTTAAAAAAAACAGCAAAATACAGATGAACAAATCACATGAGGTCTTACAGCTTGTGTCAATAAGGTAGATAAGCTGGTAGCTAGGTGTATATTATCTTCCAACTATTTCTATTTTCTCATGAAAATAACATTGTTTATTATAATTAAGCTAATTGTAAAATTGATGCTAAAATAAAATTAACATTGATTTTGTCTATAAAGATTACCACTTTTCAATGACATAGTATTACCATCTGCACTCGGCGGGCAATGAATGTGTTAAACTCCCACACAAATTTTGATAAGAAATCTGTGTGAGTAGTATAAAAACCGATAAAACAGAATTAAATTATTCAAATAACTTATCTACTCCATTCCTTTTTTTCTCTCTCTATATATATATATGATTACAATTGCGACAGTAAAAAATAAGCAAAACAGTAAAAATGCTTTTATTAAAAGATAGAGCAGTTTTATTTAAAAGAAAATATATTTATTTAAAAGATGGTCAGAATCTAAGAGTACATGAAATGTCGCTTCAGGTTTATCGTAATATTACTTTTCTAGCTTAAGAAGTTATCAAAAATTAACCCCCAACCTATCTTATTTCCTCAGAGACGATAAAACATCTCTCCCCTTTCATTGCTCATTTATTTCTTCCCAGCTGTAAAATGACTCAGAATATTCCAATTTATTGTAAATTTGTATTTTATTTGAAATTTTGCTAATACTTTTGATATTTGGTCAATTTATTGACTAATAATTTAAAACCCTTAGTGCGGGCCTGGCATCAAAAAAATGAAAAATTTACCAAAATAAATTGCAAGTTCTTTTATTTTTTTAATCATTAAAGTTTAATACTGATAAAAGAAACTTACAATTTGGAAAAATGTTCAAATTAGGTATTAAAATATTAAATGAACAAATACCGAAGCATGTAAACTAAAACACTGATTTACTAAAAATGGCATATTTTATATAAAATAATTAATTGGTTCTTATATGTTATAGAATTTGTACGAAAATGTGTCAAAATCAGAAAAAAATCCATTATTTCTCTGAATAATTTATACTGCCTATTCTAGAAAAATTTCCTGTTTACTAAAAATATGTAACTTGCTTATTTTTCTGAGGCATAAAGTATAGTAGTTAAGTTTCATGAAAAAGGTGACATTGAAGGAAAAAAATGTGACAATTAACATAAAGTAAAATTCAAGGAGTACATACTGAAATTTAAAAAGAGCAATTTCAAGAAGGCATTCCAATTCTGTGAAACTAAAGGTTAAAAATCAGATTCACCCCCAAAAGGTCAACCCCCTAAGTGTTTTTTCTTCAAAGGCAGTCAATATTGTTCTTCAACAGGTGTAAGCGTAAATCTCAAAGACGTATCCAAGATCTTATTTCAAGGCGAGGACAAATCATGTACAAAAAGTAGCATAGAGAAAAAAAACTAGATTTAGAAATAAAATCTAGAATTTACATAGATTATTAAGAAACACGTCCTTTATGAAAGAAACTTACATCCCTACACAAAAGAAGAAATAATTACTAATAATAACTTCGTAAGTTTTTGTTCAATTCATTTTATAATTTAAACACTGTGTGTTGCAAATGTAATTTCTATCACATTTATATGTTTCTTATTGAATAATTAGCATTTTTTAAAGGCATTTTTCATGCAATAAATTGTATATTTTATAAAAAATGATAAATGAATTTTAAACTTCACGTGCAAAATAAACATCTTGTTCAATTTTTAATTACAGTAAATAAAAATTTTGCGAAGTTATGGGACTTACAATTAACAAATGAAACTTTTGGTTTTTAGAAAAGAAAATCATTTTACTGTAGAATTTATTTGTAATTTTTTTTCATCAAAAATTCGGTACCACTCTAAGGATGGCTCTGGAGACAGATGTCACCTGCTTACTATGTCACTGCAGAGAAAAGTTCGCTTTTCAAATTTTATGAGTTGCCATACCTCTTTGCCAACTAGCTATAGTTAGTAGTAATAAAGGAATGAGAATTCATTTCCTTAATGCAAACTATGTGAAAGAGGTGTCGCTTTTGTTACAAATGTGAATCATCTTAAAGCCAAACTCATATCCTATGCATGAAATATGCATATTGGCAATCTTTGTTCCTGAATAATACTCTTTATACTACTTACATATTTTAAAACATAACAGTTTCCTGACAGATCAATTAAATGTAAGATAATACGGATAAGCCATGTTTTAAAATTGTTTGAAAATTTATCTGTTTTTGTTATTGATTTTTTTAAACTTGATTGAAGGTAAAAGATTTTTTTTATTTTTTTATTTATTTATTTTTTTTAATTTGTTTTCTTTGATATGGTGCGTAGCGTTTTTAAAAAGTGCTTATAGGTGCTTATTTTCGATTATCATTTTATTAAAGCCCTTAAAGGTGATTTTTCGTTGTGTGTTTTTATAAAGTGCTTAATTTTTCCTTTTCCAAAATGATATATTTTTCCTTCGCCACGTATGATGCAAAAGCCTGCTTTTCACATTGTTCTATTTAACGTTTTTACAATTCATTCAGCCACAATCTGTTTCGGTTTCCCGACTGTACATAGCGTATGAAAGCGCCAATTATTTTACATGTTTGATGAAATACTCGCGGGTCCACATGTGCGTCTGCTGATCTGGGTTCGGTTTGATTATTACACTCTCGTGTGCAACTCTGCTGCATTTTGCAAAATATTCTCAATTTCAAGATTCATTTTACACCCTCTGATATTAAACTGAAAAACCTCTTGATCTTTTTCTAATGAGTAATATAATCAAGAAAAGAGTTCTTTACTAGAAACTGGTTGTTTTATCTTGATAATATAAAGTCTTTGAAAATTATTTTGCATTTTGTTAATGTATATAATGTTTAAAAATATTTTCTGACTGCTTAAGAAGTACTTAAAAGGTGCTTATTTTTTGTTGAAAGATTTGGCTACGCACCCAGTCTAACAAAAATGTTTTATTTTAAATGTGCATAATAATTTATTTATGCCTAAGAATTAACCTTTGCTTCCAGAATTTGGAAGTAGAACAAGATGTGCCAGAAACTAATTTCATATCTAATTTTCTACGTGTTATCTTAATTACACTTTTGAGATTTTTACCCTTTAAAAATATCTAATATCTAAATCCAATATTTCATGTGTTGTTAAATAGTCAGTTAACCTAATGTTTGTTTAAAATAACAAAAGCGAGAAATCGTTAATTAGTTTTTTCAAATTTCAATGAAAATAATTTTTTAAAATTTTATGGATTTTGATATCATTTGGATTGGAAGTTTTTATTTAATAAGTTGCCTAATAATGGTTAACTTCCAAATTATCGACACTATAATTTTTTTTCCACGCGAACACAGTATAAAATTAATAATAGTCATTAAGTCACCCCAAGTAGTTTTTAAGTTTTAATTAAAAGTGAAACAATTAAAAAATTTCAATATTTTTAAGAAAACTTATATTTTAAGGAATATACACTATTATCAGAAATAATGTATGTAGATGTGTGTAAAAGTTACTGACTGATGGCTATGTTTTATGGCACAAAAGAATGTTGAAAGAAAACTTTTTTTTTATTTGTATATAATTGTTTCCTGAACTCTCTTTTGATTATGTGATATTAACATTGATTTATATTTTAAGCATCTATGTCTGAATTCTTCCTTCTGCCAGGCAGTGTAATTGTTAGCTGTCCAGACTTTATTATATATATATATATATATATATATTTTTTTTTTGGCAATGTAGAAGTCTATTGAAAAAAAGGTTAAGGAATGTATTTAAATCACTAAAGACTGTTGAAGTCAGTTAATGTATTGTATATACATAATATATCGTGTATATATATAGCTAATTTCAAATTGATTGTTTGGAGGCAAGAAAGCTCTTAATTGTTTCTTTTTGTTTCAGTTTTTGATTATTCACATCGTGGTGAAGGACCTTTACCCCCTCGAGATAGGAACAATGATCGACCTTCCTACCGTGATAGAGATGGGGGCAGGTCACGTGATAGGGAAAGAAACCGTGATAAAGAGAATGACAAAGACAAGAGAAGAGACAGAGATAAAGAACGAGACTCTAAAAGAGATCGTGACTATGAGCGCAAACCTGAAACTGAGAGAGTGAAGCGATCCAAATGGGATTGTCCTGATAATGAAAAAGCCAGTTCAAAAGAGGCTGCTCTAAAAAGAGAAAGGTAATTTTTCCCATTTTTAAGCGTCAATAAAGTTCAAGTGCTGCTAAACTCTTCTGCATTTCGAATATAAGCACTAAGATTTTTTACCTTCGAAATAACTATGCATACATATAGGTTATTTTCTTAATTGATTAGCAGCTTGTATAAGCTATATGTCCTTAATAAAATATTGATATCATGTTTTATCAGGACTAACTTGTTTTCTTCTGCAACAAGCTCTTTTTTTTTTAATCTTTTTCAAAGTAAACAAAAAATATCCTGCATCATTTGTCCGAGTTCTTAAAGTATTTATCCAGGCAATAAATGTAGTAATTGTATCTATTTCGGGATCGAACTTTAAATGGAAGAATTCATCAAGTAATTTACAACACGACACTTTGGTTCAAGCATTTTTTGATAGTCTCCCAAGCTCTTTTGACTCCTAGAGGATTGGAATATCAGTCTAACATCATTTCATAAGTGTATAATTGTGTGTTTGTGATAATTCTAAGATAAATTTGAGTAAAACTACCTTTTGTTGTTGTCGTTGGCCATTAAGGCAGAGGGGGTGGGATTGCTCTTGTTTTCCAATGGCCCAATCTATGGCCAAGAATTTGACTTCCGCCACACACTAGGGTGAGCTCATTCATTCACCCCAGATCGTAATTTTGACCTGAATGAGAGAACAATCAATCTCCAATTCTGTACTCCCAGAGGTATTGATTTATTGTGGGAACATGGGGGACTTTTTGACCCTACAGATTTAACGTGCACCATTTGCTGCATGGGACTGGATTCGAACTCCCGTTCTCACAAATGAGAGTTCAACGTCTTGCCAACCACAGGTCGTTATATTATACTACTATAAGTTTTAATTCAGAATCACTTTGGGATAACTTAATCCTTATATATTTTAATAGCATGTTATTCCCCATTATGTTTTTATGTAAGCGTTATTTGTTTTAATATTCGGCAAAGTATTATCTTATTTGCAACATTTAAAAAATATAATTTTAATTAATTACTATTGATACTTATAAGTACTTCAAAGTATGTTGACTGCCTTGAAGTAAATTTAATTTGATAAATTTAAGTGTGCATAAGGGTTTATAAAATATATGATTATTATCAGTATTATTTGAAATATAATTTTTGTTTATATTGTAAATTAACAATGATTTTAAAAATGCTCCTAATGTATATAAGTATATCAACTAATGACAAACAGTGTGAAATCAATTATTTTTATATATTGTAATATCATTGCAGTTCTTGATAACTCAAAATTTTAGATAGTAACTAAAATAATGTTAAAATGTATTCTTTTTATAAACCAATATTATATTCAAACAGCAAGATTGTATTGAGTAGTTCTATATCAAATTTATATGAACTGAAAATATAAGTTGTGTTATTTTTTAATTTGATACCAAAATTTGATTTAAAAAGTTCATATAAAAGTGGGATGTTAAGAAACACCTCACAATCTGTAAATACAAGATACCTAATGAAGCTTCATATACAAATTACCCCTAACCAACACTAGAATCATTTCTTTGAAGGAATTGACTGTAATAAGTATACAAGAGTTGAAGAGATTTTTCAAATTAAAAAAGCTTGCTAATCGGTCACCAAAGCTTCCATAGGTGCCATAAAGTTTTTTAAAAAACCAAGTATATTTTAATCATCCTGTTCAGACATTAAAATAGTTCAACTCCAGAGTTATAAGCACTTGAAAATCATTACTTTAGTATACCACCCAAATATCATTGGATAGAATAATAAATGCAGATATCAAAAACGCTTAAATGCTATTGCTAAGAATAAAAAAAATATTTAAATCACTGAAAACGTACATTGTTTATTCCATTTGTTTAGTGATCATTAGTAAAAATAATTGTTCACTATTAAAATAAAACGATTTTTTTTAAAAATTTAATTTTAATTTTCAAATGACTTCTGAGTAATTGCAAATCTTTATCACTGAAATAAAAACATGAACTATATTTATTTAAATCCAGAGAAGAAATCCAGAGAAGAAAAAAAATTTATTTTGAATTCAAGTGACCTAAAATTTTAATAAATTCTTCAGCGGTATCATCATCCTCAAAATTCTTGAAAAGGCTAATAATTAAATAATATATGCCGTTTAAAAGGGAAATTAGATAAGTTACAAAATTATAGGTTGTAAATAAAAGTTAAGATATTATTATTTTATTTATTATTATTATTTGCTGTTTGTAAAAAAATTCTTTTGTTAATTTATATGAGTGCTTTTTTTAATAAATCAGAAAAAAAAAATTAAGAATCCAATGTTGTTAAATATAAATATTGTAATAAATACCACAAAGGATACATAACTGAAGAAGGTTCAATAAAATTCCATGAAAACAATTCCAAAAGCAAAAGCGAGAGTTAATAGGAAGAAAAAAAATTTAGTTTCTTATTTATGATGAATCATACACTACCGATCAAAAGTTAGCGAAAATTTTGAAATCTACAGAAAAAAGGTTTAAGTTCAAATGTTCATAGAACTGCGAAAAATCATTGAAATTGCATTAAAATTTGGTATGTTCTAAAGTGAACCCTCTACAGTTAGTTACATATGATCAAATTGCAATACTTTGTTTTTTGCGAACTGAATCCAGCTTTTCATCATGGGTTGTTTTTATGGTGAAAAAAGTTGTTAAGTTTGAACACTTGCCAAACTTGCAAGAAAATTTTTTTGTACTTTCTGTTAATAGAAAATAGTTATTTGAACCGCTCTATGTAAGCCCTCAAAATTTCAGATCGATTTGATTTTTTTTGACGAAGTTATAGAATTTTAAAAAACATGTGAACTTTTCTCGATTTTTGAGCATTCTACGTATGCGGTGGTCTTTTGGTTTATACAGCTTCTACCAAAGAATTTTTTAATTTCAATGCTTTCTATATTTTCAAATAATTAATGTTGATTATAAAACCAATATTCTTATTCATTATTGTAATTATTGTTATTACAAAGAATTTATCATGAATATAATTAAAACAATATCTCATGGATGTCACATTTCATCGAAAATTTGTTTGTTCTTGCAAACGATGCTCTGATATTTTGAATCGAAATCAGTTATGGAACATTTTACAACAGGAGTGGAACTCTATATCACTTGAAGTGATTAATGGTTTGTTGGAACGAAAGCCACGCATATGTAAGGCTATAATAAAAGCAAAAGGTGGATCGTTCGAGGAATCTAAGATTTAAATGTTAATTTATTTAATTACAAAATACGAATAAGAATATGTTAAATGTTTGACCTGTTGTAAATAAAATAGTTTAGTAAAAATGCAAATTTTTTGTACTATTGTTATTATTTTTTTAGAAAACTTTACAAATTTTTTCACCATAAAAATGTGTGATGAAAAGCTGGATTCAGTTCGCAAAAAACAAAGTATTGCAATTTGATCATATGTAACTAACTGTAGAGGGTTCACTTTAGAACATATCAAATTTTCATGCAATTTGAATGATTTTTCGCAGTTCTATGAACATTTGAATTTAGACCTTTTCTTTGTAAATTTCAAAATTTTCGCAAATTTTTGACCGGTAGTGTAAATTAACACTGAAAGTTAAGGAGAAATTCAAGCAGATTATTCTTTAATGGTTCCTGAGTAGGAAGGGGAATCTCGAGCATCCAAGTAAACCATCACAAACCATTTCTGAGTCGAGGTCCATACATTTCCAATAAGTATTTGCAGCATTGCAAAATCAGTGCTAAGCATTCTCCTCTTATTTGAAGTGGGCGTGTAGTGAAGGCCATCAGATGATTTTTAACATTAAGCGTTATAAAGCCAGCTTTGCTCCATGTGCTACCATTTGTGTCAGATATATTTTGCTTTGAAGAAGTTGATGTATTTACCATTGGTTCAAAAAGTTGATTGGTGTATTTCTAATTGCACCAGTGTGATGTAAACAAGAGTGAGGTAGATGTTAAACAATAGAAACTGCATTTGGAAAGAATTAAATTCGTTAAATAATAAAAATATTTTATTTCAGAAATATGAAATCCTATTTCTGAAATAAAATTGTTCCATAATAAAAAAAAAATTTGTGTACATATAAATTAAAAACTTAAGGGATAAAATTGTTGATGAACAAGGTATATGTAGCAGAGAATCAGGCACCAAGAGAGAATCTTGGGAATTGCACATAGACAAAATATCATGAGGCAGATTCTCACCAAAACAAAATTAGTATACAATATCGGAAAATTCTATTTAGGATATATTTTCATAACAGCAAAATCTTGTCAAAAATCCACAAGTAATTGGAGGATTCACTTTTAGATTTTTTTTTTCTAAATAGAATTTTCAAAAATTATAACAGACTTTGATATTGCCTGAAAATGTTTTGAGTAATTTTATTTATATATTTAATATGTTGATATTTAATGTTATTTTATTTTTATTATATTTCTTTATGTGTTGTTTTTATTAGTTTTTATCTGACTAATAATTTTTGTACTCAAGCTCTGATACAAAGGTAGAAGTCCCATTCAAACCACAAAATGATTCACTGGCTAATGAATCATCATCATCAGAGACTACTTTAATTGAAGACATTTTGAATCCTCCTAAACGATTCACTAGACCTAAACAACTTGTCATCATACTTAGAGGATTACCTGGATCTGGAAAAACTTATGTAGCTAAGCTAATTAAAGTAAGTCATTGTTCTAACTGTTTAAAATCTAGTTTCATTACAAAAATATAAATTTATTTACACATATTTCTTAATATTAGTATACACATAGCTGCCAACTCTACACATAATAGTTCTTAATCAATCTGTGCAAGTTGCTTAGAGAATATTTTTTGTATTATCTTTATAACTTACTCTACAATATGCTTCCATGTTATTATATATCTATATATATTGTTTGTGTATAGGATAAAGAGATTGCAAATGGTGGGTCAGCACCTCGAATTTTGTCTCTTGACGATTATTTCATGGTGGAACAAGAAATAAATGATACTGATCCTGATACTGGTAAACGACTTAAACGCAAGGTATTCAACATTTTTATAATTATGTTTTCAGCTAGTTTTTTATGAGAAAAATGGAGTTCTTTTTTTTTAATATTTAAATCACTTTAAAAAGAGCTTAAATGTGTTTATTTTTTATTTTCTTAAAGTCCTTAGAGTCTTTTCTTCTTTTTTTTCATTAGGTGTTTGTAAGAAGTTTTCTTTTCTGTAAATGTTTTTTTTTTTCCTTTGTCATATCGATTGTCACCATAAATTATGCCAGAAACGTGGTTTTCAAAATGTTTCAATGTTTTTCCACTATCTGTACTGTTGTCCCTTTTGTACGAAATAGAATAATGGTTTAAAGATAGGTTCATGACCTTGCTGCTACAGGACCTTAGAAATTCAAGAATTCTTTCCTCTAAAAATATTTTGCAACTGACCATGGCAAAGGTTTGGTGGAGATAATTGGCGGCAAGGCAAAATGCTTGGCATGAAACACTGTTAGGTCAAAAAAATCTACAACTCCAATTGTGCAGTCTGCAGCAGTGATGCTATTTTTGGATAAAGATATAAACAGATATAATAGGCCAATGCAAGAGTAATAGCAGAAAATTCTAAAGTGCATGGAATTACATATTCACCTTCTGGTTTTAAATTTTATAAAAATGCACCAATATAAGGAAATCTTATTACCACAAAAATTATTCCAGAAAATTGGGTTGTTGTGAAAGATGATAATAGTTTATATGCTGTAGAAGTTACACAAGTGCTGGGAAATGATGTAGAAGTTTCTGCCATGGTAAAGTCTGGAAAATATTGGAAGTGGCCTAAACAGGAAGTCTTTTACAACATGAGAGAAGTTGTTAAAGTTATTCAGCCACCTACAGTTATAAATGCTCTTTGTGTTTTTTATTTTTCCTGATTTTTAGAGAAATCTAAGTTACACACAGTACAAGTGGTAATATTTTATCTCATATTAAACTTAGAGGAACTTTCTTTGTAATATGAGTTGTTACTCAGAGAAAGAAGGTAAATTTGAAGCAGCAAAGTAAATTGAAGTTTTGCCCTAAAAGTAAATGAGAAAAATAAAAGATTTCACAAAAATTTATTCTTTTTTGCATAATTTTAATACAATAATTATTTTAATACAGGCAAGTTTTATTTCATTTTTAAATGAGAGCATTATACAGATATATTTAAAAAAAAGAAGAAAATTAAAATGCATTCATATTTTTTCAGCTAAGGAAATAAATGTAAATAAGTTGATTGTAACAAGAAAACTTAAAAAGTACAATGCTAAATTTCAAGAATTGATTCCATAATAAAAAATTTAAATAAAACTATTATTTTATCTTTTTTTGTATGTCTTTCCATTTCTTTTCAAAACTGCACATGCTTTAAGATTCAAAAACATATTTATAATATTAAAATAAAGTTTTATTTTGAAAATAGCATTTTAAAAAGAGAAATTAGTCAGATTACCATAGTGTCCTTTGGAAGAAAAAAAAACATATTCAATAAATAATTTTTATAGATGCATATGTATACAAAAAGAACAGCGTTAAATTTTCATTTTGTTTGCTTTCTGAAAAGGCAAAAGGAATTTTATGATTTTCAAAATGTTGTTTCAAAAGTACTGTAATTTATGCTGTTTAGCAACGCTAAATCAGGTCTATTAAATGTGTCACTCTAAGAAAGTCTAAGAATTGGGTTTATGACAAGATGCAGACAATCGAGTATATGGTCAGGGGTGGCATACCGTCGGTCCTGTAGCGTATGAACGCTCCCATCATTTTACATGTTTGCGAGTCTGCATGTGCAACTCTGCTGCATTTTGCTAGATATTCTCCATTTCAGGCTTAATTTTCCAGCCTCTAATATCGAACCGAAAAATCTCTTGATCATTTTATAATGGCTAACATAATCAAGAAAAGAATTCTTTGTCAGAAACTAGTTATTTAATCATGATCGTGTAAACGAAAATTATTTTGCATTTTGTTATTGTATACAGTGCTTCAAAATATTTTTGGAGTGCTTAAAAAGTCCTTATTTTTTGTCGAAAGATTTGACTATGCCCTGTCACCTTGTCACTCATTCAATACTTTTATGTTATTTGAACTAAATATCGGTCATAATTTGAACATCTAGTTTCTTTCTTCTTTTTTTTTCTTCAACTATCTGCATCAGTTTTTATATAATTTGAGTTTTTTATTGTTGTTTACAGGAATTTAAATTTGAATATGAATCAGAAATGGAAGAGTCATATCGTGCTAGCTTGTTTAAATCATTCAAAAAAACTATTGATGATCGTTTTTTTCCTTTCATCATTGTGGATGCCGTACATGACAAATCAAAACAATATGAACAATTTTGGAGTTATGCTAAGCAGAGAGGATTTCAAGTGAGTACTGTTTCCAGACTTTTTTCAAATTGTATTCATCCAAAAAATATTTGATTATTGATTTTGTAAGCTGACGTATCTATCTGCTCTTGGAAGAAAAGTTCAACTTCACAAATACACTTATCTATAAATTATAAAATATTGTTTTTTTTTTTTTTTTTTTTTTTTTTAAAAAAAAAAAAAAAAAAAAACAATTTAAAATTGAATGTGCACCATCGGTTAGACATTTAATAATACATAGATTGTGAAGAATAGTTTCTAATTAATCCTTTTTGCCACTTAGGCATGTTGTCAGGTGTTGTATTTCCTCTAAAAATATACTGTAAATTTGCTGGTGTTTTTTAAAAAAATTTAAAATAATGCTTGAGTTGTCCAACTCGTTTAAATGCTTTAACCTGATATCTAAATCAAGATTGCATAAATTCAAACTAAGTGCTTCAAGCGGATATAAATTTACTTACAAGCAAGTTTCCATTGCTTTAACTCCAGTTGCATTTTAAAACATTTTCACTGTCTTTGAAAGTGAACATTCTTTACACCTACATGTTCAGTGATAAGTTTATAGGTATGTTACGCTGCTCGTGTGGAAAGATCTTGTAGCTGAGAAAAGCACCGTTTAAGTGATGTTGACTGGAAAAATGCACATCTATTGAAGCTGGTATGTCAACTAAAAGCTTCTTTGCTAAGTTAACTGATGACGATTGAGATAGTTTTTCATAAAGTCTCATTCTCAACCATTGAAAGGACATTACTTAAGTTTTTCGATTGACTATATTGAAGAAAGCTATTAAATATTTTATGTTACTTCCTATGAAAAATGATCTGATACTGCCTGTAAAAATGCAGGTTTATGGATAAAGGAGAGAGCTGCTTTTTCTTAAAAATAATAGGTATTATCTAAAATGGGAATCCTAGAAGGGATATTTGATAAGTAAAGCTATCCCCAATGTTAATTATAATGAAAATACTATTTTATTTTTTAATTGGTGAAAGACATTGTTAAGGGGAATTAAATGTATCTTATAAATCACACCTGGAATATATTATAATATTAAAGGAAGATTTAAAAAAAAATACTAAAAACTAAATGACAAAGGGACAGAACTATAAAAATGATCTTGATTTGCAGATTGGTGAAAGTAACTAAAAGATTAATGACTAGTTGAGTATTTAATAAAACAGAAAAATGCTGCTGTGGCTCTAACTGTTATGACTGTTTGCGCATAATTTAATATTTGAAGGAACTGATAAGTTACGAAGTACATTGCTGCTTTTAAACTCAACTACAGTCCTGAAAATATAAATTTCTAATTAGATACATGTGTTACCAAAATGAATAAAACCTAAGATAGTCTAATTTCAAAATTTAGAATTTGGAGAAAATTTAGAATCTATCTTCAAAACTGGAGGGGGGGGGGAATTTCAACGAGTGATAAAAAATTAAATAAGGCCTCTTACTTCTTATTATAACTTTAATTGTAAATTGCTTGTTTTAAATTTATTAGCAAGCAGTTTAAATAACAAGGTAAAAATTAAAGCTTAGAAGCCATTGCCATCAAATTAGTTTTTCTTTCATTTAAAATTGTTATAGGATCAAATTCGTATCCACCATGATTTTATAAAGCTATATAGATCATTTGTTTTATGTATTTAGAGATAACTAACTAAAGAATTCCATTAAAACTTAATGTTCTGTTGTATTATTATAATATAAGCTAATTTTACAGGTATATATTGCTGAAATGGATTGTAAAGATCCTGTGATTTGCCATAAAAGAAACACACATAATCGAACTTTAGAAGATATTACAAAGGTATCATTACTTCTGTCTTTTTTTAATGAATATAGTTTTTGTTATATCACTTTTTAAAAGTAGATTATTTTCAGCTAATTTGTTTTATTTGTCTTGTTACAATTTTATAAGATTCCTTAATTTATATAGATGCAGATACAAACAATGAGTATTCATTTTATTTATTTGTGCTGAACATTTTGTTGTTCTGTTTTTTTTTTTTTTTTTTTTTTTTTTTTTTTTTTTTTTTTTTTNTTTTTTTTTTTTTTTTTTCTTCAATAATTCTTTCAAATCTTTCACTAGAAAAGTCCTCTTAGCTATTATTTTTAGCTTACTAGTAATCAGCTAGTATCAATTTCTATATTTTCTTACATTAGACAGTGCAGGCATCCGATCCTTCCTAGAATTTTCCTCTATCTTTTAATGAGNTTTTTTTTTTTTTTTTTTTTTTTTTTTTTTTATTTATTAAAAACAATTTTTCAGTACAATGCTGATAATGTTAAAAGAAAATAATTTCAAAAATTACGGAATTGTGCATTTTTTAAAATCCGCTTTCAATGGATTCTTATTCTTATCAGTGGATTCCCTTCTCTCATTAATATTGTTGGCAATGAGACAACCTGACTAAGGCTAGTGAAGCCTCTCCCATGTCATGTCTTTTAACGAAGACTCCAGTTTACCTGTATCTTCTCAAATTTCTCTGTATTTTTTTAAGAAATGTTAACAAATCTTTTTTTAGTGATAAATATCTGCTACGGGCAAAAATACCTCTCTTATTGCCTGTACTGTTCATGTGCTGTTTCGACGGCCAAACCGTATGTGGTGAGAATGCTGCCGTGAATCTGGCCGTAACTTCGTTTGTTTGCATTGCATTTTTCAGCGATCGTCATTAAAACATAAATGTATTTTGATGAATGAAACATAAATGTAGACTCATTCTGTTTTCAGAATCATTTACTGTCAATTGGACAGCTGGAAAGTGAGCTGTATGAAAGTAAACAGTTCTAAAATATATTCTATGCATTCCGCATATTGTAAATGTTCTCTAAAGTTAAAAACAAATTTTGTTCATTACTTTCTGAGGAAAAGTAATTCCGCTGGTAACTGTTATGAACGGAACTTTGATAAAAAGAAAAAAAATTCCAATGCAAATCAGCTGCTTATATTTTAAATATGAATATATAAAAATTTTGTGAAATAAAACTAATTACTAAGAAAATTCTCTTGCATGAAAATTATTTCGATGATGAGTGCTCATAGTAATTATGAATAATGGTTTAAAAAAAATCTTTTTTAGGCTAAGATTTACTTGCATATTTTTTACTATGTAAGGGTTTATATTACTTCCATTTTTTGAGTTGCGTGATGCATCAAAACTGAACGCGCAATATGTCGCTAGTAAAATCTCCAATGTTGGCAGATATGCTATAAAATATTTAAGAGTTTTTCCAAAAGTAAACTCAAGAATTAAAATAGCTGGTGGGATCAAAACCGTCTTTGACATATACTGATGGTGCTTTGAAACTTGCAAAAAGGTTTCTTTGTTCTCCTGATCATATCCTGTCTAGACCTTATCAATAATACATTATTGCTTTTCCCCATGGTGTGCAAATTCAGGTGTTTTTGTTTTGTTTGTTTTTCTTAAGACATAGACAAAAGTGAATTTTTCTTATAAAAATGGACATTAAAATGTTTTAGTCAGTTCATATTCCATCGTCTCCCTTCTAAAGCCTGACTGTGCATGATTGCCTTCTTTTATATTGTAAATATGAATGGGTTAAGATTAAGTTATTCTAAATAAAAATATTTGTTAGTGTCTGCTAGTAAATTACAATATAATTTATGAAATTGATTTGTTTATTTTGCTTGTTATTCAATAATTGGTATATTTATATCCAATTTTCATTTAAAGAAAGAGAAGAAATTTATGTAATGAAACAATTTATTTAAGATACTTTTTCAGTTTTAGTTATATTTAAAGATAATTCTTATTTTAGAAGAAAAAAAATTTTAAAAGAAAACCTATTTTGTTTCAAAAAATAAAGAAAAGAACCCTTATTAGTTTCATTTATGAATGACTCTTTTTCTTTAGAAGCTTCTTTACAAGTTGGAAGATTATTTTTACTTACAGATGTATTTAGTAATATGTATCTCTTTCTAAACAACTCTCCCATACAATTAATAAACTAAGTATTAACTTTTATGCAATAAAATGCATTAGAGCTTGATAAAAAGTAATCAGTTGAATATCAATTTAATGTTCTCATTTGTACTTTATCGAAAGTTATCTTTGTTAATATTTGTAATCTTTTGCTTGCATATATAAATACACAACTCATGTATTATTTTCCCTGTGATTCGACTCAAAAGTATTTTATGACTTTACAGATAATGGAATGCTGGGAGAAAAAACCTCGTCATTTTATAAATATGGATGTTCGTTCTCTTCTACAAGATGTTGCTATTACTGAGGTAAATTTATTTTATATCAATCAGGGTGAGTAGCGTTTTTAAAAAGTGCTTATTTTTATTTACGTTTTTTAAAATCCTTAAAGGTGCTTTTTTTATTCAGCTTTTAAAAAAGTGGTTAATTTTCTATCTTTTAAAATGAGATTATTTTCTCTTTGTCATGTTATTTGTTCTAAATTACAAGAAATGCATGATTTTCACAATTTTCTCTACAATATTTATCAGAAACTAGCTATTTTATTATGATTATGTAAAGTTTTTGAAAATGTTTTGAATTTTATTGATTTTATGTTTATAAATTAAGAACTTTAAATGATAGAAAAAATAATATTTATTACTGCACGAATCCTAATTATGTTTTTTTTTGGGGGGGGGTAGATTAAAAATATTTTTAAGTGCTTAAAAGGTGCTTATTTTTTGTTGAATAATTTGGTCAATTGAAAAGAAGAAGAAAAAATCTTACAATGGAGTTTGAAAAGCTTTCTGTATTTCTGAAATGCTGTACATTTCTTTTTCTACTTTTAAATCTAAAGGTAATGAAATAAAGTAATACATAGCTGCCAACTCTACTACATTTTTCAGGAGACTGCTGGATTTTGAGAGTTTCTCCTGGACTACTGGGTTAATAAAAATTCTCAGAGTTTTTGTGCATTTTTAAAAATTTCTAAAATTGAGTAAGTTTCCTGAAGAAATCCCTATTGGTATAGGGTTTTTGCACAGATTATTACTTGCTTGAATATTTGAATAAGTTTTATTAATGCATAATGAAGCAAGCCCCATTTATAAGAATCATTTAAAACTTTTTGTTCTAAAATTATGAGTTTATTTTTCTTCAGAACTACCTTTTTTAATTAATTAAAAAACTTTTAACTATCTTTGATCAATGAAATCTGCTTTACTATTCAAAATGATTCAACATAATACGTAACTTTTCATATTCGTTTAATGTTAATCATGGAAAGAAAATATTGCAGTTTTTCTATTTTGATTATAAAAGTCTCTAAAATTCTCTATGTGTAAAATATTTAGTACATTATGATACAATTGTCATGAAATTTATCTTTTGTACAATCTACTGGATTTTTTCCCATCCATGTTGACAGCTAAACATTGGATTTCTAGTGATTAATTTTTACCTTTCCACTCAAATTCCTAACCCTTTTTTCCCCTCCTTTTTAAAGGTTTTACTTATTTAAAAGAAAAAAAGTTATATGTTTATCAAATTCTCTATGTGTAAAATATTTAGTACATTATGATACAACTAGGAGGCTTCGCCCCCTGCTCGCTCATTGGATACGTTCTTAACGTCTAGCATTTGTATACTTTTTTTAACACTGAAGTTCCAAAAACTTTTAACTGTAGGAAATTCTAAACCTGTGCATTTCAATATTAATTTGAAATTGCAAACCGTTCGCATATTTTTCTTAATTGTACTGAACGCCGGATGTAAAGCATCGGCTTCGATGAAGATAATTAAAATCTTTTTGGTAATTGTGAGAATCTTTTTGGTAATTCGGTGAGAATTCACCCGATTAGACATATGATGCTCTTGTGCGCCGAAGCCTATTTATTAAAACGTATTAGCGTTTTATATAATATAGATTAGACATATGATGCTCACTACGTGCTCTTGTGCGCCGAAGACTATCAATTAAAAATGAAAACTGTTGCCAACGCGAGAAAAGAAATATCATCGGTTTTATTGTTACATACGTACGTATTAGCATTTTATATAATATAGATTGTCATGAAATTTATCTTTTGTACAATCTACTGGATGTTAGTATTAACATTAAAAATAAAAAAAATTCTTTTCTTGAGTTTTCTGTTTAGTTGAATTCCAGATAATCTGGCTTTTACAGTTCTCATAAATTTTTATATACAAAGGTTGGGCAAAATAATGGAAACAATGATGGAATCTTGAAAATACAGCAATTGGAAAGCTGAGATGTTTAACTTTAAAATTTTCTTGAAAATTTCATTTTTAGCATTAAAGTTTTATTTTAAGTGTTAAGGAAGGTTTTTTTGATTTATTTTCTTTCACTTAACAACTTTAATTTATATATGCAGTGAACTCTCGCTACTACGATATCCGATACCACAATAACTCCCTCTATTACGATAATGTTTCGTGGTCCCGACGATTTTTCATATCAATTAATGTTATTCTAATCTCAATATTATGATATTCTCTGAAGCAATAAACCTCTGTGAAACGATTTTTTTTTTCGAATTTTAACCTTATTTTCTCCATTTATTATAGATTTTCAAATAAAGTTAAAAATCTTATTTCATCATCTTTTACCGTTTTTCTATTTTTTTCTGTCAAAAGAAGATACTGCAGATGTAACATTCCTATCTGATTTCATTTACTTCATGTTAAAAGCTGATCATTTTATGGGCCACAAATGACCACAAGCATCACATTAACACCTGAAAGAGAACTTTTTCCAAAGAGGGTGGGTGTAGCACTATCCATAAACGAAAATCATTTCGTACTTTGTACTCAATGCATACTTGTTGGTTGACTTAACAGTCAGAAAAATGAATAAATAAACAAAAATATCAGATAATTTCCAATAAAAACGATTTTCAGGTATGTTTCTGATCTTATTTTAGTTTTCATTTGTTATTAATATTTAACAATAATTAACTCTCTGCAAATTAATTTTTTATATAATATATATAATTACAGTTAATATATATATAACATTAAAATTTAAACAAAAATCTTATAGTGTCCCCAGAGTATGTAAGCACTCGATATAACAATATATCCCTCTACAACAATAAATTTATTTGGTCCCAAAAATATTGTTGTAGTGAGGTTTTACGTCTAATTTAATCAATTGATGCACGAATGTAAACAATTTCAAACCGGNAATACAAGAAAACACGAAAAAAGTTAAGAAAAACAATAAGTTTCATTTATTGCGCTTAAGCTGCAAGTAAACAGAACTCATTAGATAAGTTCAACATGAAGAATAAAACAAAGAAAAATTATAGACATATGAAAAAAAGGGGGGAAATAATAAGTAAAAAAATAACAAACGACAGTTTATATAAAGAAAAAGATTACATTTTATTTAAAAAACCAGGGAAAAAAAGATATAAGCCCATTGTGCAGCTCTAGTGCGACGTAAATTAACAACAACGTCCTTTTGACATGTCCGTTTCCTATCTGAAACTTTTTATTGTAAAAACGCAAAATATATTTGAATTCTGAGATCATTCTATACTTTTGAAGAGTGGGAAAATGTTTTGGATCACGAGCAAAAATGAGAATTGTTGCTTATTTTCACTTTCATTAAATAGGATTACGAATTTTGTAATATCAACACTTTTAATCCATTGTTTCTATAAGGATTCATTTGGTCATTCGAAAAATATTCGTTACATTGCAATTTCGGATTTCGCTAAAACCGAATTGGACGTTTTTTGGTATTCAGCCAAATATTGTTCTTTACACCTCTCATTTTGGTATTATAGGTAGAAATGGAAGTAGAAGAAGGTGATTTAAGTGCAACAGATGACAATAAGAATGACTCTGATGCCGAGAATGATACAAACTCCCTAATGGTAAATGGCTAGAATATTTTTGTATTCATGTTGTCCAAATTATTTTAAGTGTTTTTTAGTTCTTAAAATTAATTTTTAGGACCATGTTCCGAGCCGCTGGGAGAAACTAGAAGCTACTGAAGAAAAACTTGGTATATTTATGTTTCAATATCTTCTGAGCACCTATAATAAGATTTATTTTTAAAAAATATGTTCTCTGATTTATTATGATATTGATTAATATATTATGCTATTACGATAGAAATGCTGAAATAGGAATGTATATAACAAACAATCCATTTAAATATTAATTTTATTCGGATGATAAATCTTGTTTCAATCGACTTTTGCAATTTCATTGAATCTTAGTATTAAGTTGGGTTCAGTTTCCATTTTTTACTTTTAAAAAACGGTTAATTAATTTCACTTAAATTTTATACATTTCATTTAAAGATCATTTTCTTCACAAACTTTTCTGTTCGATATGATAAAATATTCTGTTCAAATAGATTAACGTCACTCGTATCAAAAAGTTCATCATAGAATTAAGTCAAAGTTTTGCATTCATCGATAGTGGTAGCAATGGAATGCATGCAAAACAATGTTTTCCCCATGAAAGAGACTAATCAACTTTTTACTTACTTGTTGATTCATTTAGGCATGATGCTCAACAAGTCAGTTGTTCTTAATATTTTAAGTTTTAGTTTTTCTTACTCTTATATTTCAATATTTGATTTTAAGTATTGAGACTGTAACTAATACTGGCATGCAATGTATTATAACTTCAGCGGAGGTTGAGTGTGTGAGTTTAGTGCACATTTGGCTCTGCTGTCTTCAACAGCATTGCTCTGAGTGTATTAGTATTTTAAGTGCAATTAAGATTCATAAAATTCATTCACTGGCTTGCCAGTTTGTGGCTACCCAAAATATGAAATACAACAAGTGAATAAAAATTGTGGGCAAACGCACTATTTTGCTGTCCCACATGCTTCCCAGTTTATATGAACTTAAACTTTACTTGTAGTTGCACAGCGGCTCAAACAAACAATTATTATTTAAGTATGAATCAAATATTTCCTGATTTAGATATCTTGAATCACCTCTATAATTAATTCATATTTTTGCGTATCTTTGACTTAAAAACTAATATATTGATAATTTCCTATTTTGATCTGGGATTAACCTTTGAGGTTTTTTTCACAATTATTGATCAACTGCCAACATTTTATGATAATCAGTTGTTTTCTGCACTATACAAATTACAAATTTTCTGTCATTTTATATATATATACGAGAAAAGAAATATCATCNTATATAGTAGTTTTTATAACACATTCAAAGCTTATTAATTCTTTAGAGCACTGAAAAATATTTCCTTATTTTTTTTTTCGTTTTGTGTACAGTGAGCAAAAAATATATATATGTACACTAACCTGAATAACTTTCGTTCTAATGATTGTATTTTAACGTAGTAAGTGTCAATCTTAATGGTTCTTGGGGGTAACTTAAAATATGCACATTATTAGTGCTAACTATTAATTAAGTTACGAAATCAGACACAAAAACTTACTTTCTCTGAATATACTTTTTTTATATATTTGGTTTTTTAACCTTTAAAATATCTTTTCAATCTGGGAAATATGGTCCCCATAATTTGGTCAGGAGAGTTATCCAAAGTTCAGACTCTTTAATGTTAATTTCACTTTTGCATTTTTAGTCTTATTTTAAAACTAATTAAGCAATTCAAAAAAAAATTTCACCGACTTATAAAATCCATTTGCCCAAAGATAATTTTATGCAAAAAAATAATTTTTTATAATTTATTTAATTTTAATAGTGGATGATAAAATTTTGAATTATGAGGTATAAATTTTTTTATACTATATTAATCTACATATTTTTTGATTGCAAAATTGAAAGTTTCAACTGCTTTTATTTAGTAGAAGCCGAGAAAAATTATAATTAATTATTTTTTAAAAGAAAGAACAATTTGACAACAATGAAGAAATATTTAAGTAATTGTGTTGAGTTTTATAAAAGCATGTTTCTGAAGTGAGTACGAAATGCGGGTTTCTCTTAAAACATATTTATTTCATAAACAGAAACATCAATATAACATAAACTAAATTAAACATTATGGGTCGTCCTGCGACCAAGCTAGCTAGTGAAAAAGTTGAAAAGGTAAGTGGCTGTTCTTCCTCTGAAGGACAGAATATATATCACTAGGATCACAGGGTTGCTTTTACCTGAAGATCTTAAATTGCCAAGCTGGCGGTGAGAGTGGCGATCACCGCATTTCTAATAGAATGTGATTATACATCAGCTTTTTTCTTTCTTTTTTTTTTTTTAAATTTTATTTTTTAGTTTGTTCTTTTAATAATTGATACAATTTCAATTATATACAAACGTATGCATAGATTTGGAATAGTATATTTATCAGTTTCTTCAATATATATATTTTATAATTATTAAGACGAATACATAGTCAACATTTTTAAGCATCTTAAAATTTCTCGACATCTTATATATCATCTTAATCTTAAAATAAATTTGTTAACTACCTGTCTGCTTGTGTTTCGCAGGATTATTTTACCAACTATTTAATTAATGTTAACATTTCTCGAAATCTTAATCTTTACGATGTTATGTATATTATTTTTCCTTTATTATACTAATAAATTATTTTAGTACTTAAATTAATGTTTCCCTTTAAAGTAAAATTCCTTTTTAAATTATTGTCATGTTTTTATTGAAAGAAAACTTAGAATTATTATCAGCTCTCTGAGAATTAAATCTTGTTAAGAAATTAAAAATGACGAGAAATTGAAAAAATTCCTTAAAAGTTGTGAATATTATTTGTCAACTTTAGCACAATTTAAANTTTAAAGTAAAATTCCTTTTTTAAATTATTGTCAAGTTTTTATTGAAAGAAAACTTAGAATTATTATCAGCTCTCTGAGAATTAAATCTTGTTAAGAAATTAAAAATGACGAGAAATTGAAAAAATTCCTTAAAAGTTGTGAATATTATTTGTCAACTTTAGCACAATTTAAAAAAAAATATTGTTATATCAGGAAAAGGCTTGGTATACCTTATTTTGTTAAACAGCTTCTAAAATAGAAAATTTTAAAAAGATTCCAGAACCATGCTATTTATTGAATCATCATCACAAAAATTGTTCTTTTTCTAACACTAGATCAAATTTTTTTGCTGGATCTTTTTTTTTTCCCTTTTTCCTAAGGGACTTGAACTGAGGTGTAGAAGTATTTAACCCTATAACTTTTCATAAATTTATAATAATTTATGTAAATTTGATTTTACTGTAAAATGTCCATACAAATGTCATTAAAACAACTTTAGAAAAATAAATTATGTCAAATAAAAAGTTCAACGTTCATATTCCATACCCTCCAACCTATGAGGATTTTGAAAATAATTCAAGTAGAAATTTTTAAAGCAAAAGGATCTCTCATAAAACTTTTATCAGAACTTAAGAATCTAGCCATATGGCCTGCACTTTTATAAGTAATAGTGAACAAGTTACGCTAAAATTAATTTTTTTTAAATGTTAAGACATTAATTTTGCTACCGTCTGAAAAGAAGATTTCTGAAACTACGGAAATTCCGTAGCAGTTGGAGGGTATGATATTCTAAAATCTTGGATAATCGTAAACAATTTATTAATCGATACAAATTTTATTTTATATAAAAAAAATCTGTTACCTTGCCCCAAAAATTCTCTTCTTGGTTGCTCAGCAACGGTGAAACACAATGTTTTGCCATCTTGTCATTCATTCAGTTTCTTTATTGTTGTTTTTATTTATTCTATGGCGTGGTAATTTGACATTTTTTTTAAACTGTCACCATATATGTGAATTTTTATTGCGACCCAATTTTTTCGAAATTTTGTTTGCAAGAAGCATTTCAAGGATCAGAAAATGCATAGGTTTAAAAATTATGAGTCTATTCAGAGAAAGTACCTGATTTCGTAACTTAATTACTAGTTAGCATAAACTAATTAGCATGTTTGAGGTCACCCCCAGGAACCATTAAGTTCGTGCAAATCCAATCATCTGAACAAAAGTTATACAGTCAGTATCGGTTATATGGTCAGCTCATGGGTCCAGAATATTATGACCATATATATAGTATAACCAAATATATAGTATAGTTAATCTGGCGTGAATATATTCTGGAATCAGAATGCATTTTTTAAACAAATAATTCAACTTTCAAAAACGTTTAAAAATTAATTATTAAGGTGCATAATAAGAAAGAATGCAATATAGAATGACCATATAGGCAGTACTGACTGTATATATATATATATATATAATGCCAACTGTACAGTCTATTTTCATTAAATATTATTCACTATTATGGTTTTTTTTTTTTCTTTTGTACTTATTGTCTAATCATCTGTCCTATGTAGATCAGTTAGATGGTTTGCGACTAGGAAAGAAGAAGCATTCATCGATGGAAGATTATCTACAATTACCTGATGATTATGAACAAAGAGAATGTGAGCCAGGAAAGAAAAGAGTATGTATTTTTTGTATGTTTGCGGGTGATAGCTCAAAACTAATTTTAACCAAGCTTGTCTTCATATTTTTAATCTGCATGTCCAACTGGAACGGTGAGAAGTCTGATTGTCAAACTAGATTTTTATGTAATAAGATATGATTTAAAAATTTGAAAGAAAACATAGTACATTTGAGGTGAATAAAATATAAAAAATTGTTATCTAAAAGAGGGATTTAAATAACTCTCTTTAAACAGGACAGTTTTAAATTTTGGAGGAATAAAAAATTTTTTAAATACTTTTTCAAAGCTTTTATTAGGTGCAAAACGACTCTTAAAAATCTGTTAGGCCATACTGATATGAACCTTTTTGTCTAAAGTGTCCTTACATCAGTTTTTTCCAAACTTATGGCTTTTGTGTACCCTTTCTAAATTTTTCGTACGGCTGTGTGCCACTAGTAAATAAACTTAATGTAGTTTTTTAAAAATATGCTTTTCTTTACTATAAAAAAATTTCACAAAAGTAAAAAATCAAAACAGGCTGTTGACGCAACTAATTATTAACTGTTAACTCTGCAAAAAGTAATCAATAGAAAAATACGTAATAGTAAAGTTGCATGGTTAGCTTTGTTTTTAAATAAAAAATTTTGAAGTTTTAGTTTGTTACAAGATATTTCGTATAAGAACGTGTACCCCTGCTAAACTGTTCCCGTACCCCTGGGGGTACACATACCACACTTTGAGAAATACTGCCTTACATTATCAAATTTGGAAAATCACTTTTTGTTTTCTTTCTGCATAGACTGGGGGTAAAAATATCAACATATTCAATGGTGATTTTGTTGCGTATTTAAAGTTAAGTAAACACAAATCTATTGCAAATGCTCTTACTGAAAGATTGACTATTTATTCATTTCTGGAGAAAAGAAGTCATACATCTGCCCCAAGCTACATCATACATCTGCCCCAAGCTAGTGCCCTCTCCTAAAGAAAATGTTTCCTAAATACAATGTAGACTATAGAACTTGTGCTGTTAGAAAATCAATGGCAAATATTACAAAATCATATAGTGTTGCAAACTCAACCAATTTCTGTAGATGTCCGATTGTTGTGACAGCAGAGATTCTGAACAAATTGGGGGACATTTTTAATGAGTGAAATAATTAAAAACCCTGTCGCTTCGTAAAATTCCATCAGCCTTGCATTTGGATGTGATGACTGGTATGATGAATAGTGTTGCTGTGTATATTTATAGTATCTAAGTGACTTGGCACCTGTAAATAATGGTTAGTGTTCTAAAAGAAAAGAAATGCTCTTAAAGGAAATGAGATTCAAGCATGTGGAACAATGAGACAATGTCTCGATTAATTTCTTTACCAATATGATGCTATAAATTTTTTTTTTTAAAGGAAGGAATTATGTCTTTGAAAAAAAATATAAAGATCGGAAATTTCAAATTTTGATAGTTTCAAAACACCCAAATGAATGAAAATTTTTGTTAAAAACACATCTGGCCTACATAAGTTAAACGTTAGAATTAGAGCAACTCAAAAGAAGAAGAAAAACTGCATATCTTAATGAAGATGTTAAATTAAAAAGGAAAATTGTACCAAACCCAGAGAACTTTTCATCTGATTTTAGTAAAGTCATCATGGAATATGGTCGAAGACTTATAAGCTTTAACGGGAATTTGAGATGGATAGGTAGCCCAGAAAAAAACCTTTTAGTGTTAAAAATTGAAAACTGGAAAACACTAGCAGGAAAAAGGTTGGACTTTCCAGTCCAACCTTTGACGAACTTCTTGAGACAGCCAAGGCCCTACCTGGGCTGTCGAGGCATTGTTGATAATGATATATATATATTTCGTGTAAACTCAAGTGTGAATACACAGAAACTTGTGGATAATGTTTAAAAAAAAAAAAATCTATTTTTGAAGTTTCTCTTTTTTTTAATTTTTGTTAATCCTCTCCATTAACTCATGATGAATTATGTCCAAAAATGAATAAAATAAAAGACAATAAATAGAAAAGATTTTCTTATTCAGGTTTGAAAGCAAATTCATTTTTAAATTTATTGATAGCAATATGTTAAAAGTAATTTCCTATTTAAAATACCTGTAAAGTATATTGTAAGTGAGTTTTTAAATTTGGACTCAACTTGAAATGCATTTTTTCAAGAAGGGACAATTACATGTTTAAGACATTGGATATAGCTTCTGATTTTTAAACTCCTTTTAAAAGTTTGTAAAATGGATGCTTCTTAAATCCTGAAACATAGTTCCTTTTTCACGTTTAGTTTGGACAGCTTAAGAAGTAACAAATTAATTGTGATGCACTTTTGGGTGAATCTAATGTGTCTGCGGTTGAAGAAAACCCGTGGAAAGGTTTTACAAAACATCCAAATTATACATTACCTGCAAGATCAAGAAAAACAATGGAGACAAACAATGTCGTTTCGGGTGGTTGCTCCAAAATCTGTGTTTTCCTTGAAATCTCCTTAAATCTTCTTTTTTAAGCTGAAAGTATTTTAATATTTGTTCTGCTTTATCACTTCCTTTTAAGTGAGACTTCTTTTCTTATTTTACAGTCATCCAAGTGTTTTATTAGTTTTTTTATGAGTTTTCTTATTGAGTTTACAATTAATTGTCATTTCTACTTTAGTTTTTTTACATCACACACTATTAGCTATTAGTTTAAAGTATCCATTTATTTATTTTATAAAAATAAAATTAGAGTTAATGGATTGCGTGTTTCTTAATCCCTCTACTAGTTTCACTATTTTATTTATTCATTTAGTTAGATATAAATTGCTAAAAAGGTATGAATGGTAACTTTTGTGAGGCTGAAATAGAGTAACAAGATATAAGTTGATTTTCTCCTATGACTGGCTTTCTCCGACTGACGAGTTTTCTCCATGTAATGCATACTTTGTTTCATTGATTTTGACGTCCGAGCTGAATTGTAATAGACGTTTGTCCTGCTAAAATAGTTTCCTAGCCACTCTTAAAATCTCTTCCGGATTAGGCATGCCTGGTAAAAAAAAATTAGTAATCCAATGTCTAAAGAAGAAAATGATATCTCTAAAAATTCAACAAAGCAATAGCAACTGGCAAGGTGAAAAAAATATGTTGAGAATCTAGTTGACTTGAAACTACAGAGTTCAGAAACATCTGGGTCACCACTTGTGGTGTGTTGGACGATTCTGCGAATTATGAGGACTCGTTATATATTTTATAACGCGTAAGCGAATTACTGAAATCATACTCCAAAAGAAAAGCTTGTACATATTAGATTATGCACAGTGCCAGTTGGGTAGTTGAAAAGCTGTAGACTGCATAATTCTTTGTTCCTCGGGTGCTTGGAAGGGCTTAATGAACGACTTACCAACTAAAAGTATTTGGTTGGAGGCAAGGCAACTAATGGTTTTTGTGTCGCTGCTTCAACCTAATAATTTGGGTTTTAAACCCTCACAAAACTCATGATTTCAAATAAATTTGTAATGTGATATCATCCATTTGCCTAAATTGCCTGGTATATTTTATTAAAATAGTCTAACCTTGTAAATATTTTGCCAAATGTCTCATTGTAATACCAGTAGTGTCACTACACGCGCGACTAGAGCACCTTGTGCCTACTTAACAATATTAATATCTCTGTGCTAATTGCTTTTCGGTCAGGCTTTCTCTGGTGACGATATGTTGTCTAGTTACATACCCATTTTTTGGGTGGGTCACTCATTATTGATCATTAAATTTGTTTTTGTTTTAAGGACTTTAAAAGTCAACATATATTTTTGCAAAGTTGCGACAGATGCTATAAATTTATAACAGTGGTAGTAAATTTAAGTTGAAGGAATTCAGCTTTAAAACTCACCTTATCATTTAGCCTGTTGCACATGTAACATATCTAGCCACCCCAACGCCGAGTTTAAAACTTTGTCCATAGTGATTATGCTTAATATTTTACTAAATAAGGAAAAGTAAGCTTATAATTCGTTGTTTAGTTGTTAAGTTTGAGCTGAAAACTAAAATGTGTTTTATATATATATAAGGTGCATTATGAGCTGTGTCCAATTTTAACATGAACTTAGAGCTGTCCTCCATTTTTAAATTATGTCCAGTTTTGAAATTCAATCTCAATTAAATTTATCAATTTTGAATTTATAGACAAAAAAAATTTAAAAAATAGACCAAACAAATACCAAAGGTAAAAAAAGGTTTCTTTTCCTCAGAAATATTTGTTGTCAGTCTTCTATTTAATTGGGTACATTCTTTTAGCCCACATTTCTTTTTACATCAATTTAATTACCAATGCTTAGCATTCACATTGAATATAGATAAATTTGAGAAAGATAGAATAAAATGTCATTATGTGCATATAAAGATAATTTAATGAATTCTTATTTACATGTTCATGAGGTTGAAACATTTCCTGTAAATGCCTATTTAATCCTATGTCCATTTTTGTTAACTTTATTAGTTCGAACAAAAACTGGAAATATGACTTTCTTGTGTAATCATCGGAGGGTGTTAGTGATTTACTTATTTTGCAAAATTGTTACAAATATACTCTTGCAATATTTGAATGGCTCCTTAAGGACAACTTTCTTTAATATTGATTTTTATTCTGTCATGTTAGGTGATAATTGTAATTTGTTTTTGCTATTCTGTATGTTAGTACATATAGTTACTGTTTGTGTTTAGGTGAGATGGGCAGATTTAGAAGAAAGAAAAGAACAAGATCGACTTCGGGCTATTGGATTCGTCGTTGGCCAAACAGACTGGAATAAATTAACTGATCCAACTCATGCAGATCGAGCCCTTACAAAAACCAAATATTTTTAGTCAATTAAGGCATTTATAAAAATTTATTTGCATTCATGTATTTTTAAAAAAAAAAGAGTGAAAAAAAAATTTATTTTTTTTTTTGTTTGCTCATTATATGCATAAATAACTCATTCATTGAAATATGAAAAGGGCAGAACAATTTTTATATTGTTTTGATCACTCATTAGTGAGGTTAAAAAAAAAAGAAGAAAAAAAACTTCCTTTATGTGATTTAAGGTTGCCCAAATCATTGAGTGCTAAAACACGGATATATATATAAACTGTTGACTTTAATTTTATAAAAGAATTGGTCAGAAGTTATGACTTGTTTTTGTTATTATCTCTCTCATCATTATATAAATAAGAATATATATTATTAGAAACATTTTCAAGGCATTTTGTATGTATGATGCACAGTTATAATTTTATTTGTTAAGGTATTTGTATGTGGGTACATTTAAAACGAGCATTTTCGAAAGCCTTTTATTCGAGTTGACTTGCATAACACAGCTTGGGTCTCACATTCATAAAAATGGAAGAGTATTAAAATGTCTGCTCATAAAAATCTAATCTAAAAAGATGTATTAAAAAACACGAATCGAAAAGTCATTTAACTTTTATTTAATTAACATCTGTTTCTAGCTGAGCATTTCTATCTATCTAACAATCATTATTTCTATAAACTCTGTCAATAATTGTTTGGTGATGTGAAAAAAGTAACAAAATCCTGATTTACTGTTAGCATGTAGAAAAAATATTAGTATGCCACCTAAACAAAAGATTTCTAAACTGCCCAATTCCTTGTATGCAACTTTTATTCTGAACGTATTGATACTATTTCTTTTACTAGTTTCTTGTTTTTGAAGAATACCTGTATTGAATATCTTTTAATATTGTAATGGTTGTAGATTACAAGTTAAAATTTTAACATTCATGGTAAAATTCTGAAAATGTTTGATTTATATTTGCTTTGGAAAAAAGGAAATTTTTTTTTTTACCTTATAAGAGAAATTTTAAATTCTGAACTGTCTAAAGGGATGAAATACCCTTTTTAAAAAAAAAGAACGAACGAAAAACTATGCAACAATGTTAGTGCCTATTATCATTCATCTCATGTTTTGTCACTTATGCCTTTTAGTTTTAATAAAGTTAATTTTGTTGATAAGTATGTGTTTTATTTAAAAATCTATCTTTAATATTATCTCTTTAAGCGCTCACAACTGTAATATACAGTGCACACAAAAAAACCTACTAACTCCCTAGATAACTTTTAATTTTAGTGATCAGATCTTCACTTGTTAAGAATCAATCTTAATCACTTAAGGAGGTAACTGGTATTTTAATTTATGAAATCCATCAGAAAAAAGTTCTATATCTAAGTAAACGTTTATTTATTTATTTTTCTTTCTGATTCGTATTTCTGACCTTCTAATCATGGAGAATCTGGAAAATAGGGTCTCAATTGTTCGGTCATGTCTCCATCATTGTAATTTTTGCATATTTTGTTGTATGTCAAAAAGTGAATAGAAACATTTTTTATACAATTATAAAAATTGCATGTTCATAGATAATTTCATGCAAAAATCAATTTTTAATATATATATTTTTTTTGTTTATTTAATAATTAATGACAAAATTTTTATGAGTCTTAAACTTTTTCATTATTAGATCATTATATCTGTATATTATAATAAACAATTTCAATAGGCAATTGTAATTATCTATATATTAAATATTATCTATATATAAGTAAAATTTAATATGGCAAAATACAAAGTTAAAATCAAATCAGACGTAGTACCGTACACTTGTTATAGCAAATGAATGAGAATTTAGGAAGACAAAAAAGGGGGTGCTGGTAAGTTCGGAATAGATTACGTATTTTGCGTAAATAACAAAAGTTAAATTTTAGATCAGCGGAACTCAGAGAAAATTTGAGTCTTAAAAATAAATTGATTTGCGGAAAGCCGTGCATTCACAGCATTGAGATGTGCGGAATTCCGCAAATTATCAGAAGAATCACGTGCCTGCTTATAGCAGCTCAAATTATCTGTGGAAAATTCCTAAGCAACAATTAAGCTCAAAATCTGCTATAGGAATATGACCAATATTGGGATCTCTAGAATGATGACTGTTGTGCAATAACAATACAGGGCCAATGGTGGTTGAAAAAAGGCTACAAAATAGACAATTTTATTTAAGACTGAATATTAGGTTAATTTAACAATTCTATATAGAACTGATATTTATTTATTTTGGTGTTCGGAGCAAATGTTAAAAATGTAAAATTTTTAAAACGAAAACACGTTTTGGTCCCTCATTAAGCAACCGTTTCTAAGCGCAAATGTGAAGTTCTATGCAGAAAACCGGATGAAGGCAAAATTTGAGAATGAATTCTTGATATTTTTAAGTACTTCTAGAGGCCCTTTTTAAAGGTCATGGGAGCCCTGTGAATAAATAAAATGTCAAGATAGGTGGTCAACAATATTTTATTCAAGGCAGAATTTCTAAAAATAGAACAGTTAACTTATTTCACATAAAAGCTGATAATTTAAATTACACAATTTTAGCATGTTACCAGATTTGAAAATTTGTCAGATTCCTCTCAATAGGCCTTTATATTGAGTTTGATGAAGAGTGTAGAATGGTCAATGAAAGAAAAAATAAAGCTTATAAAAATATGCTTAACAGAAAATTAACTAGAGGATCAATTGGTGAATACAGGAGTGCACATAGAGAGGAAAAGAAAGCTTACAGGGAGAACCTATTCAAAGAAGTCGAATTTCTCAGGACCAATAAACTATCAAAATGACCATTAATTGTGAAATCAGAAGAAAAAAAAATAATCGCTGCTTCTATGGTTTAAGATCATTATTGAAATCTCACTTAATAAAAAGAAAGACGAAGATTTTACTTTATAAGGTATTAATCAAGTCAGTTTTGACTTATGCTTCAGACACATGGACTTTAACAAAAAGGGAAGAGAAGTTATTAGCAACCTTCGAAAGGTGCTACGAACCATCTTTGGCCCTATACTCGATAAAGACAACTGGAGGAAAAGATATAATTTTGAAATATATAAGATCTTTAATGGTGAAGATATCATTAAACTAAGTAGAATGAGATAGGCCGGGCATGTGAGCCCAGAGCAAACAGCATTTGGAGTCTTTAATGCAACCCCCTCCAATAAAAGGCCAAGAGGAAGGCCCAAAAAGAGATGGAAAGACTGTGTGGATGAGGATTTTGCCATCCTAAAAGTAAAGAACTGGAAATCAATTGCTGAGGAAAGCTCACAAAGGGCTGTCGTGCCAATGATGATTGAACTTTTACTGTTGTAGGAAATTTCAAAAAGCTTCCTATTTCGTCTAGGATAGACATAGTTTATTGAATTAAGGTTTCAAATATTTTATGAGCATCACATACCAAGATATAGCCAGTATTGAACTCAGAGAAGCAAATCAAATTTCTATGCTGGGGGAGAATGAAAGAAAGAAGACCGTGAGTAAGGGGTAACATTTTTTGGCAAAACTCAATATTTAAGGGGTGTGTCAAAAGCATTATGTACTCGTTTACAGGGTGCGTAGCGTAGCTTAAAGGTACTTATTTTCGATTTTGGTTTTTTGAAAGCCCTTAAAGGTACTTTTTTCATTGGGTGTTTTTAAAAAGTAATTGATTTTCCCTTTTTGAAAATGAGATTTTTTTTTCTTGCCATTTCGATTTTTGCCACCAAAAGCGTGCTTTTCACATTGTTCTATTCAACGTTTTCACAATTCATTCAACCCCAATCCATTTAGGCTGACCGTCATTTTACATGTTTGATGCTGCAGGCTTCATTTTATAATGGCTAATATAATCAGGAAAAGTGTCACAAGTCTTGAATGTAAAGTACATATTTTTTGTTGAAAGATTTGGCTACACACCCTGATTTATACTTTTTATCCATTGTATAAAAAGGTCACATATTTCGTCATCATTCCAAATACACTGTTTTTTATTCCTTCATATTAGTAACGCTTTAAAACTCTGCTCTAGAAAAAGACTTATAAGTAGTCTAGCTGTTTTATTTTTGTGTAAATTGTTCTTGAGCTATCTACAAATCCCCAACAGTAAATGAATAATACATATATCATTTTCTTTCACTCAACTATGTAATTCAGCGTGTATAGTCTCATAAGATCATCTACTTAAGAGTGCGCAAGGCTTTTAATGGTTATCCTGAAGGTACAATTAAAAGGTTATTTTATATTTCTGATGTGATTCTGATTGGAAATTGTGAAAACTATATTTTTCTCAACGAATAATGTATTTTCTTATATTCTTTTTGAGTTTCAAGTAGATTTTTCTTCTAATAATTAAATTAATTCTTATTTAATATAGTGTTCATGTTTTGATAAAGTAGTTAGGGAAGACGGACAGTGACTTCAGTTCTTTGAGTTGTGGAGATTTTAATTACATGCCCAAGATAATTATCATTTTTCTTTTTGTTCCTTTACATTAACTCACACTTTTCCCCATTGTCTACGTATCAGTGTCTTTTTTTATTCTAACTTATAAAAAGATGTTTTTTACAAGGTTATCTATTGATATGACCAAACCATTTCATCTGATTGATTTTAATAAACTTCATTCTTTAACTTTAATTATGTACAATTTTAAGAATAATTATCATAAATTTGATTTTTAAAAAACATTCTCAGCATTAAGTTTTACATTCTAAAAAAAATACAAATGAAAAATTAAATTATAAACATTCAAAAATTCAATGCATTTTAAAATGTACAAATTTTTTAATTTAGAAAAAAAAATTAAGCAAGTTTAAAATAACGCAGTATTCATTTTTTAAGGATTAAATGAAAATACAACATGATGTGAAATTAATATTTTTACAATGTCTAAACAAAATAATAAATCGTAAAATCCAAATTTAAATGAAGTATAAAAGAGAAATATCATAATTTCTTAAATGTGTGCTTTTATAAAACAATACATAATAACAATACTGTGCATTAAATTTTTTTAAAAGTTATCAGTTATAAGCCGCTATACTAGAAGCTAACATATTCATAAAGTCAGGGAAAAGTCAGGATTTTTCTTACATATTCATAAAGTAAGGAAAATAAAAAAAAAAAACTATAGTTCATTCAAAGAC